ACAAAGACATCATCGTTATGACTAATTCGAGTACGCTTTCGCATTCGAGTACGCTTTCGCATTCAGTTTACGACATGTTTATCGGTATGAGATTATGTTTATGTTTGATCGTTAGAATCAAAATCGGGATTATTATTATTATTATTATTATTATTATTATTATTATTATTATTATTATTGTTTTTCCAACAATTGGTATCGAGCCGTCCATATTTGATTCATGTCTGTTTAATTTATAGAACCCTAATTATGAAAATTAGGATTATTTTTGTTTTAAACAATTCAAATTACCCAATTTTATGAACCCTAAGTGGAGAATAATCTCTAATTTTCATAAACCCTAAAATTTAAATTTGGGGGTAATATCCCCAATCTGATTCTGCTTGCTGATGGAATCGTGGAGGAAGCTATGGATTCTTCTTCTTCTTCGGTTTTTCCTTTTATTTCTGTTTAAGTTTCAAGTTTTACTGAAAAGGAAACAGTGTTTCAAATTTCAATTTTTTTTTGTATTGGGTTCTCTGTTCTTTTTTGAATCATTTGTTTTTATTTAATTTTATGTGTTTGGAATTGGGAGTGGTGTTTTGGGAATTCCCGACATAGAGGATCTTAGGCAACTGGTGAATGTTTCCACATGTGTGACTGTTATTATTTTATTGCCTCTATCCCCTAGGAATTTAAGGAAAATTTGATGTTAAATTAGGGTTAGAGTGATTACTGTTTAATTCCCTTTTAGGGTTTAGAGCAAGTATGCTAAAGAGACTCGGAACTATCTATGTTTCATCCCTAGTGTGATTTTAGGGAGATGTTCATCCTTTATGTATTGGTGAAAAATGTGGCCTTTTTTCATCCTTTGATTTATTCAAATGAGGTGTTCATCCCTAATGAGATTTTAGGGAGGTGTTCATCCTTAGTAGAATTCTAATGAGGTAATTCTCTTTTGAATTAGTTTGCAAATATTAAATATTTGGTTTTGTTATATAAATAAAATATTCAATTTTTGGTAGTTTAATATTTTTTGTGAGCAAATTGAGTCAAGAAGTCACCAAAGTAACTTCTCTTGAATTGGGCAGTTCATAAAAAATATTGAATGTTAGTGTTTGTGTATATTCATGCGAGTATTAGTCGGTCCAAAGGAAGATTAATATTTGGCCGAATTGCATATACACTTGTAATGATAAACATGTGATAATTATAAGAATTTGCTTTGTCGATGATAAATCAATCCAAAGACTGGTTTGTTGCTGGACGTGCTTTATTGTCTTGATTATTACAACAAGATACCTCTAGCATTTAATATTACTGTCCAAAGACTTGATATTGATGGTGCATTGGGTGTCTTGAGATGGGTTAAACCACTATTTGAATATATATTATTTATTTTTTATATAATGTGAGCATAATTAGTTTATTTCTCGTGTTCTAAATTCAGACTACAATTGTTTACGTATCTCGCCAATTTAAATTACGTTCCGGTCCTCAATGGAACAAATTTTAAGGACTGGAAAGAGAACATTGATATTGTTCTTGGTTGCATGGATATGGATCTTGCGTTAAGAACTGAGCAACCCCCTACTCCTACGGATTCAAGTACCTCTGAACAGAAAAGAGATTATGAGAAGTGGGATCGCTCAAATTGCATGAGTCTAATGATCATTAAGCGTGACATCCCGGAGGTGTTTAGGGGCACTGTTTCTGAAAACATCACAAGTGCCAAAGAATTCCTTGCTGAAATTGAGCAGCGCTTTGCAAAAAAGCGATAAGGTGGAGGCAAGCACTCTTCTTCAGAACTTGATCTCCATGAAATATCAAGGCAAAGGAAATATCAGGGAGTACATTATGAGCATATCTAATATTGTTTTTAAACTCAAGGCACTAAAGTTTGAACTCTCAGAAGACTTGCTCATTCATTTGGTGTTGATTTCTCTTCCTGCAACGTTTAATCAATTTAAGGTATCTTACAACTGTCAGAAGGTGCTAAGGGTCCAGAACAAAAGAAACAAACTCAAGAAAACAAATGTTTCTTTTGCAATAAGACTGGACACGTAAAGAAGAAATGTGCTAAATATCATGTTTGGCGTGAAAAGAAAGGGTTGCCTAAACTACCGGAAGTCAATTGATTCTGAAAGATGGATTTATGTTGGAGATGACAAATTGGTAGAGGTGGAAGCTATAGGACATTTTAAATTGTTATTAAGTACTAATTTTTTATTTGGATTTGAAAGACACTTTTGTTATGCCGTCATTTAGACGGAATTTGGTTTCAGTTTCTTATTTGGACAAATTAGGTTATTTGTGTTCATTTGGAAACAATAAGTTCAGTTTGTCTTTTAATTAAGATATTGTTGGAACTGGTTCACTTTTGATTTATGATAATCAGTATTTACTTGATATTGTGACCACCTATAATGAAACCCTTAATACAAAATCATGTGGTACTAAACGTAAAATTGAAAATACTCACTCAAGTGTATTATGGCACAAGTGCTCAGATAACATCAAATTGTAACGTTTGGGCTTGTGTTACACTCTTAAAGATATGGTAGAGAGTATGATTTGTCATTCCACCTTACTAGAATCACTTTGGGGAGAGACACTAAATATGACAGCTTATATTCTAAACAGAGTACCAACTAAAGCAGCTACCAAAACATCTTATGAGCTTTGGACTGGGCGACAGCCTACTCTGAAGCATTTCCATGTGTGGGATTGTCCAGCTGAGGCAAGGCCTTATAAGCCAAATGAAAAGAAATTGGACTCCTGAATAGTAAGTAGTTATTTTATTGGTTATGCTGAAAGATTCAGGGAATATAAATTTTATGATCCCACATTAAAGACAATTTTTGAGACGGGAACTACTACGTTCTTTGAGGATATTGAGTTTGGGGGGAAGAATAAAATAAGGAACTTTGTCTTGGAGGAAGAATCGGTAACAATTCCAGAACCGATTCAAATAGTTACTTTTGATAAAGTAAGTTCGGAACCTCCACAAGGCATTATTGATGAACCCCTTACTCAATATGATTTGGTTGTTCATGAAGAACAAACTCAAGATCCTCAAGAACCTGTGCATCATGAGCTAATAACTTTGCAGAGATCCACTAGAGAAAGAAGAAGTGTTATTTTGGATGATTACATGGTATTTCTTTAGGAACATGAGGAAAATAATGATATAATGGAAGATGACCCAGTTAACTTCCGTCAAGCTATACAAGGTTCTAACTCTCAAAAGTAGATTGAAGCAATGAAGGAGAAGTATAAGTCCATGTAAGACAATAAGGTTATTGGGAACTTGTCCCATTACCAGAAGGTATGAAACTCATTTGGCTTCAAGATGAATATTGTTGATGATTGTATGTATCACAAGTTTAAAGGGAGACAAGTTTAGTCTCAATCAGTGCCCAAAGAGAATTTGGAAATTGAGGAAATGCAAAAGATTCCCTATGCATCAGTTGTAGGGAGTTTGATCTATGCCCAAGTATGTACGCATCCGGACATAGCATATATAGTTGGGGTTCTAGGCGGATATTTAAGCAATCCGAGGAATAGACCATTGAAAAGCAGCAAAAAGGGTCATAAAATATTTAAAGAGAACAAAAGATTATATGTTCACAATAGGAGGTCGGACCAGGTTGGAGATCGGCTGGATTTTTCGACTCATATTTTGCGAGGATGTCAAGAATTTGTAGCATGCTATGAGGCATCAAATCATGGAATATGGCTGAGAAATTTTGTCACGGAGCTGCAAATTGTGAAAGGCATTGAAAGACCACTTAAGTTATATTGTGACAATAAATCAAGTTTGTATTGTTAAGGAAAGAGTACAAAGTGGACAGATTTCCATAGAACACTTAAGGACAAACTCCATGATAGCATATCCTCTAACTAAAGGACTTACGCCCAAGGTCTTTCATGAGCATGTTGCTCACATGGGTGTTTTACGGTTTGAGGAATTTGTGGTTTAGTGGGAGTTAGTCATTTTCATATATTTTATGTTCTATGTTTAATTTTATATATGTATACATTGTTTTTTGGACATATTTGGTTATCTATAGATATGCGGTTTTCTTGTTCATTCATTACACTTTGTACATTAAGGTTATTGTATCGATCTCGATAAGTTAAAGTTTGGACCAGGTTGAAAATAGACATGTACGAGATCACCTTCACGTAATTTTTCATGCTACACATTTCATGATGAATCCATGCCATTTGGTTATGTCGGGATGAGTAATCTTGTTGGTTTTAGTTGCGATGATGCAATGAAAAGCTGATTTGGTTCTATATCCCGATATGATTAATGGACAAGACTTTTGGAATATGCTAAAGGAATATAATGACAATTTTGAGCTCATAAAGTCTAACACATTTGTAAGGTTGTAAAGACATATATATTTGTGACCAATGGGAGATTGTTGGCAAATTTTGGGTCATGTATATATATGATACATATTTAAATGTGTTAGGGTCATTATTTATTAAGCCAAATAATAAAGTGATCTGACTAAATTAAAGTTTTGGCTAAAGGCATATGTCATGAAAATAAAATTGTGTAGAGACCATAGAGCAATTTCTAATTTGATGAGGGGCCAAATTGGAATACTAAAACTTAAGTAATTAACCTAATTCGGTTATCTAAAGGGTCATGGTCCCTTACGGGAGCACACACGAGAATCGGTCCCGTTCCTTTCTTTCTATCCCCATCAAGAGAAAATCAAGAGGGAAATACGAGTGCTTCTTCGGTGGAAGACCATAAGATCAATATAGTGTTCTACAAAGACATCATCGTTATGCTTAATTCGAGTACGCTTTCGCATTCGAGTACGCTTTCGCATTCGAGTTACAGCATGTTTATCGAGTATGGGATTATGTTTATGTTTGATCGTTAGAATCAAAATCAGTGATTATTATTATTATTATTATTATTATTATTATTATTATTATTATTATTATTATTATTATTATTGTTTTTCAAACAGTGGTGTCATCAACACTTGTTTTACTCAGCAGCAGCAGGATCTTCTTCTCCCGACTTCTTCTTCTTCTTGAGGATAGATGACACGGTCGAATAAACTCTTCCTCTTTCTTACCTTGTCCTTGCCGGAGGTATCCACAACCTCAACAGTAGCAGCCACAGTAGAAGGACCTTCCTCCTTCAGAATTCCCTGAGATAAACAGATAAATAACTTTTAAAAGAGATTTTAAGATAGTAATAGCAATTGCTGATAATTGATGGAGGAAAGAATAAGTGGATAGAAGAACCTGATTCTCCTCGTCGCTTAGAGGGTCAGGCAGCATATTGAGGTCAGGGAGCATCGGCTGAGGGTTCTGGGTTGTTTGGTTGATAGGTTGAACATGAACTGTAGCAGGTTCATGAACATGAACTGTTGCAGGTTGAAGATGAACTGTAGCAGGATTTGGGCTTCCCTTCTCATTCATTTAACTCTACAGAATGAATGAGACAGTCTATGAATGCAATGGTTGTACCCCCACTCCCTCCATTTTATAAGAGTGGTTAAAAAGATTTTTGCTTTTCATGCTTTCCTTTTCACTATAGCTTTCTGGCAGTTGCTCATGTAAACGCTTCTGATGAAAAAACAGTTTAGAATCTCTCGACAGGTCCTTTTCTTTTCTGTCCTCTTCCTTCTCGTCACTGCAAAACAAACACCTTGCAGCTTCCTTTTATTAATATAATAATTATAAAAAAATAAAATAAAAATAAATTATTTCTCATTTTTATTTTGGCGTCCGTAGCCACCATAACTCAATCCTAAATTCTTATGCTTTCAAAATTTAATACTTTATTTTTGGGTTTAAAATTTAAAAATCTAATGCATATATAAAATTTAAGAACTTTAACTACACTTCATTAAAAATATCAAAACAAAAAATACATTTAAAAATACAATTAGTTATTTATTAAATTACCCAACAGTGAGAAGCAAAAACTACAAAAAAACCGCTTATTATCTACGGATAAAATCCATAGATAATGACAAAAATCCGTAAATAATGTCACTCACCTAAAACAAAATATTTCTATTTATTACAAAATACCTCAAAGTTGGAGTCGATACTTCCAACCATTAAGTTATTAGGATATTTTGATAATAAATTACAAATAAATTATATTTATATTTATCAGTGTAAATATATAAATATTAAAAATATATATAAATATAAAATATATAAATATAAAATATATAAATATAAAATATATAAATATAAAATATATAAATATAAAATATATAAATATAAAATATATAAATATAAAATATATAAATATAAAATATATATAAATATAAAATATAAAATATATAAATATAAAATATAAAATATATAAATATAAAATATAAAATATATTTATATTTTGATATATTTATATATTTATATATTTATATATTTATATATTTATATATTTATATATTTATATATTTGTATTTATATTTATATATTTATATATTTATATTTATGTATTTATGTATTTATATATTTATGTATTTATATATTTATATATTTATGTATTTATATATTTATATATTTATGTATTTATATATTTATGTATTTATGTATTTATATATTTATGTATTTATGTATTTATATATTTATGTATTTATGTATTTATGTATTTATGTATTTATGTATTTATATATTTATGTATTTATCTATTTATCTATTTATATATTTATATATTTATATATTTATATATTTATATATTTATATATTTATATATTTATATATTTATATATTTTATATTTATATATTTATATATTTATATATTTTATATTTATATATTTATATATTTATATATTTTATATTTATATATTTATATATTTTATATTTATATATTTATATATTTATATATTTACACGAATAAATATAAGTATAATTTAGTTGTAAGTTATTATTAGAATATCCTAATAGTTTAGTGGTTGGAGAATCGGTTTTCAACTTTAAGGTATTGTGTTCGATTCTTGCTAGTGACAATTCTTTTAGTTTAATATAATTTACCTACGGATTATTATCCGTAGGTAATTACCTACGGAATTACCCACGGATGACATTACCTACGGAGACCTACGGATAATATCCGTAGGTAATGGATAATTAGTCACGAATAGAATTCCGTAGGTAATGTACAATTTACCTACAAATTTTCATCCGTGGGTAATATCCGTAATCCGTAGGTAATTACCTACGGAATTACCCACGGATGACATTACCTACGGATAATATCCGTAGGTAATGGATAATTAGTCACGAAGTAGGTAATGTACAATTTACCTACAAATTTTCATCCAGTGGGTAATATCCGTAGGTAATGTAAAATTTACCTACGGATTTTTATCCGTAGATAATATATTTTTTTGGTATTCAGTTCTGAGGCTTAGATATTATGGTTTTTAACATCTTTATGTATAAGAATATAAATATATAATAATCATAACAAATGTATGAATATGACGATAATTTTTTAAAACAATATTTACTCATAAAAGATACACACTGTTATAAAATGAGTTATAATCACAGAGCATAAATATTATAATAAGTTACTGTCTAATATAAAAATAGTGTTTAATGAAATGTAAATAATTTTTTATTTTCAGTTCATTAAAAAAAATATTATATTGATTAAATTAGTTATAAAAAATCTGATTATCATATTTTTAACATTTAAATTGAAAATATTATATGTTTTAATTCAAATAGACAGTAAATTTAAAATTTAAAATCTGATAAGAATATGCATCAAAATCATTAATAATGTACGTATAAAATTAATATATCTTTAGATTGTGTAATGATGATACAAGTACAGTATCATATTACCTATAAAATTTAATCTTGATAATTTAAAATGATTTTACACTTTTATCCAATTAATTATAAATATTTTTTTAAATAAATTTTAAAATAATTATTATAAAATTGAAAAACTTAATAATTTACTGTTTAAATGGATACACAACTTCATATAATTTTTTATAGTCAATATCCAATTTCTTTAAGATAATATAAAAAAATAGAATTAACTTAGAAATAATAAAAGAGAAGATCTAACAAGGCTAAAAAAAAGAAGGTAGAGGAAAAAAAATAAAAAGGAGAACAATCAAATAAAAAATATAAATATAAATATTAAAAATAAATATCTTTTCTTTTTTTTTAAATAAAATTTTCATTCAAATTTTTTTATACAGTTTTTCTAATTAAAAATATTATCAAAATAAAATGATTATGTTTAATTTTATTTTATAATTTTAAATTTATTATTTTATAAGTAAAGAATAGTTAGTGGAACAATATATTATGAATAAAATTATCTTATATTAGTTTTACATTTTTTAAAATTAAATAATAATAATTTTTAAATATTATATATAAAATTGATGTATTTTACTTAGTAATTCTTGAAAATATAAAATATATTTTATTACTTTTGTCTTTAAGATAGGGACCTTTTTATGATATATATATATATAAAATAAATAATTTTATAGTCATTCAAAACTATAATATCAAAATTAATATATAAAAAATAATAAGCGTCTAAATAAATTATAATTATTTTTAATAAAAATACTATACTAAAAGTAAATTATTGGTTGAAAAAACATATCATTTTATTAAATTATGTACTTACCTAAAAAATTAATTATTTTAATTTGAAATATTATTGGGTACTTTGGTTATATTAATATTTTTATTTTTAATATTAAACTAATGACAATTAAAAACAAATACTCAAAAATAATAATTAGAAAATTATAGAAATTTAAAACTTACAACTACTTTTTCAGGATTAAAAGCAAACACAACCATACCATATATATATATATATATATATATATATATATATATATATATATATATATATATATATATATATATATCAATACTCTGTCTATACATTAGTTGTTTATGCACATTTTCTTATAATAGAAATACCAGCACACTTTTTCTATCTTTTTTTTCAAAACACTCTTTTATGATACAGCTAAAAAAATCATTAAATAAAAAGTGAAAATCTATTAAAATTGGTGTTTTATTTATCAATCTCAACCAATGGGAGATAGAGAGAGCTGAAAAAGAATATTAGAAAAAATGTTCCTAATATTGCTCTTGTTAAGAATGTGATTAATTTAGAAAGAAAATTGTGGACGATTCAGGGGTCAAGGGACGTAAGCTGAAGAGGAGAGGGAGAGTTACGACAAACTGGGCATGTAGGATTCATGCGAAGCCACTCGTCTATGCAATCTGCATGGAAGCAGTGTTGGCATTCAGGAATGCATCGTACCGTGTCTTTGCTATTGTACTCAGATAAGCATATCCAACAGCAACCATCGTTGGGTCCAGGGACTCGTTTACTCTCTCCAAGCACCACCTTCTCATAGGACTCAATGGTGGACTCGTCCAAACCCGTGGTTGTCACAATCTGTGGTGCTGGTGATATTGTGGCTGGTGCAGACCTCGCAATAGCATTGTTACGAATGATGGCAAGCCTGTCCTTGTAGCACACGCAGCATGCCATCACAATGGCAAAGATTGCTGCTGGTTCAGCAATGCATAATGTGATGATTCTGAAAATTTGGATTCCTTGTTGCGATGCACCTGAAAATTAAAGCCACAGAAAACACTATAAGATTCTCCTTTTTAGTATGGTTACTTTAGGTGTAATATGGTATCTGAAAATGGGACTACAGAGGCACCTTGTTTATTAGGAAATGTTATCAACCAAGCTAATCGATCGATGGAGAAAAAATTTGTTCTAAGAGTTGTGCTGAGAGTTTTAAATTTTCATTCTGCTTTAGATATTATAACCTAAAACAAAACACTCTTCGGTTTCAACCCTACAGATTTATATAACTGAAAAATATCTTTGACTGTTCATTTTAACTAAACAATCAATAAATAATATTAGACGAGGGGCAAAAGATATAAAAGGGTAAATATAAATATTTTTATTATTATTATTATTATTATTATTAAAAAAGTTGTTATATGATTTTTTTATTATATATAATTACTAGTAATTTAATTAACATTATTCTTTAGATTTTTAAAACTCTACCAAAATCCTTGAAATCTTAGTTTTGACGCGAAGAAATTTACTTATTATTGATATTTTTAAAGTCAAACAAATTATCTCTAAGTTAGGGAGTGTATTTTGGTTAATGGATCAATGTATCGCTACAGCACTTTATATAGACATTTAGCATACATGGAATATATGGATGTATGAAATATTTATGACTTCTAACATAACCAAGATTAAGGTGTTTTGATACAAATAAATTCACGTTAATTTATGTTTATATAAGGAAATTCTTAACTAAAAACCACCTATCAGCAAGCATATATGTCAATTATAAGCTAATTTGACAGCTCTTAACTGAAGGAAAAAAAAAAAGAATTTGTGTCGTTTAAGAAAATATTTTATTTATGTTTTTATAATAAAATATATTCTTATTTTGACTTTCTTTATTTTTTAGATATTTGTAAATGTACTTTTTATAGTTTTTTCAAAAATAAAATTGTTCACATCATAATAATTATTTATAAAAAATAAGACATAAAAACTAATATTTTCTCAAATTAGATAAACTATTGGAGAATTTCAAACTCAAATAGGAAACATCTTTTTAACTAGTAAAAAAAGGTAAAATAAATTTTAAGTTAGGTATCGCACGTCACCTGCAAATCATGTCAAAAACTTAAGGAAGATGATACTTTGACAAACTAAATTCATATAATTCCGTTAAACAACTTTGTTTTAATATTATAATAATAATTTTACTTTATTTTTATTTTTATTAAATCAGTCTATAGATTATTATATTAATAAAAGTGAGTTGTTTGAAGGGTTGTATGATTGCTGGTTGTCAAAATATCACCCCTCAAAACTTAAATCGAAAACTAACTTACTACGTTAATATCACATGAACAGTGGGTTTTAAGTCATCGTGGATTAATGTGAACTAGATTTTTTAGTAACAAAAGCAAATGATTCAGATATTGGTGTAGGTTAAAATTGAAGGAGTAAAAGTATGTATAATTAAAGAAAAAGCGTGAAACATTTAAAACAGAGTTGTTTTAATTTACTCCAAAATATAATGAGTACCAAAGTAATATACATCTATTTAGTAAAGATAGTTTAACCTTTAAATTCCCGTATCGTATGCACGCACTAACTTGCCTATCATCTGTTTTGCATTCCTCTGAAAAAAACATTATTTTGCATTGGTTTTTTTAATTTAATGCCAGCGTGCAGATCAAATCATGAAGTCAACTACTAAAAAGTATAAACAAAACAAAAATTATGCAGATATCGTGAATACCACGTAAAACCATTGACCAACAGTTTTTTCTAACAATTCCCAATAATTTCATCGTGCGACCACCTATGATAGAATGCTCCTGTGGTAGTATCAGTTAAGTTATTTCTTTTAGTTCTTTGTACATGTTAGGTGATCCAGAGTTTCTGAGAAAATGCCGTGTATGAACCTTGGGTAAATGCAGATAGAAGATAGTAAAACATCTTTACCTGTTTGGTAAGAGAAACACGAGAGTTGATTGTTGTCGTTTAAATCAAAACCACACAATTGTTCTTGTGATTCACAATATCTGCAGTCAGGTGTATCCCATGTTAGTAGAAGATCTTCACTAAGCTCACCTTTGAAACTACCCCCGTACTGCTGCTCAGGCCCTGCAACTGGGACAAAAAGACTAGTAATAACATAGCAAGATGTAGGCAGTGGATTGGGCAAGTTCATTGAAGGGACAGCAAGTACAAAATGTGTGGAATTACTGAGGCAGTCAATAGGAATGTATTGCGATCCTGCTTTCAGAAATGGGCAGCTTAAGAAGGTGTAATTACGAGTAAAAGTGTGAATAAAAGGAGAGCCTGAGACATTGAGGCTCAGAAGACGTTTGGGGAGGCAATCATCAGGGTCGTAAACTTGTATCTTTTGTGTGAGGTAGTTAATGTTGCGCACGTAGAATACCCCGGAGTAAGGAAGTTTTAGCACTGCTCTGCTATTATTCGTGCAAATTAAGTTGAAACCAGGATAGCCACAATAAGGATTTTGCTCATCTTCCAGTTGAAAGGGGAAACGGATAATGATACTATTGCTGCCACAAAAGGAAAATCGGCAATCATTTGAGGCATATATGACAGGAAAGATGAAGAACGGAAAAAGGACCTCCAAGATGCCCATTATTTTTCAGATGTAAAAGTCTGTGGTAGGAAGGGAACGGACCAGGGTATAAGAAGAAGAAACCATATTTTAATCTTAAAAGTCTATCCAAATTTAAAAACAATGTTAAAAGTCATATTGCATTATATATTGGTATAGTGTAATAAACTAACAGAGGTATAAAGAAGGTATAACTCAAGAACATTATAATATAATTCCTGTTCTTGTCATATCAGCCTTTGTGGGGGAGAATATTCAAAATCCTCAGTTCCTCACCAATGATCAATAAGTTATTCGGATGTCGTTAGTTTATTTCCAGCACACTGCACAAATCGTTCAATTTCGCGGAAGCAGATGCATCAGATCTACAGAATACTTTCATACTTCCTTACAAAATAATGATTGGCTATCACCATTTGCAACTCTTCATTCGAAAATATAATTTGTCATTATCTTGAAATGCTTAAACCAGAGATACATGTGGGAAATTAATGAATTATAGAATAATTGTTTTCGGGTCCTAGAGTGTAGCGTTGTATAATAATGCCAAGAAGACATTTTAAAAGCTAGAAAATAACTACCAACCCCTGCCCCTCTCAAAGACAGGTAGGAGATGAATCACAGGAGCTGTTGAGATATTCTAATCGAAACAACTTCTCCGTCTGTCCCTGCTCTCATAGCATGGTATTTCACATGGAGACCTGCATGTAATGAAAGGGGAAGCTTGAAACCAAAGTAATTGGGATTATAAGAGCAAAGCAAAGATGTGAAAATGAGTTACTGCACTAACCAGTGAAACTGCTAAGGAAATTCTAAAAGAGAAATCTGGGATGCAATTTTGCCCAAATTCTTTCAAGTAATTGATACAGAAATCTGTCAAGAGAAGCTTCTTCTTACCTTCATTTTCTTGTAAATTAGTGTTCACAGCTACGGCATGGAAAGCAATCATGGCCTTGGGTTGCCAGTCATTTGTTCTTCCAATCCATGACTTGTAATCAAATATCGCTGTCATTTAATTTGGAAATCAAAACAGATTGTTTCATGTGTTAATGCCAATCAGTTAACAGACATCTATAAAATGGTAGGCAATATAAAAGAATTAGTACATGAAGAATTTACTGAAATGCTCATAACCTAGACCCAGAATCACTCTGCGCTCGCCTATCAGTACTAGAAACTACTAACAAAATACAATTTCAAGTATTTCTTGATATATTTTGCCAAACAGAAACTGATCTATTCATGCATTGACAATAGACCGAGGGTTTTTTGTGAAGACATTTTTTGACAGGGTTACCGATTAAGCCGAGAAGTATCAAGATTTACCCGACGTCGAAGAATCCCCCAGGTGCTTAATGTCAAAAATGGAGCCAGCTGCCCCATCTGCTCGTTTTTTTATATCATGAGATCCTACAAGCTGGTAATCCCAGCTCCCATTTCGGTAGCCTTCACAGAGGAATAGTTCTATGTGCCTTGCATCTAACGTCTGCATTGTTCCTATATAAGTAGGAGAAACTGTCAATTTAAGTTTAATCTAGCTTCTCTCAAATGGCAAATCCTTGCTGTACAACACAGTGATCAATGATGTAAATTCACGGCAGTATTATTTGTCTTGTCCAAATTAGAAGGCAATCGCAGTACAAAGGGATTAGTGACATGCAGGGCTCTTCGGATTGTATTCAAATTACCGTCGCACGTATTGAGGTCACAAACCGGGCATCTTACTAGCTGTAGGTCTGAAAAATTAACCATATTAAACAAATGAAATTAATTAAAGATAACTGAGACAATATGTTGACATATCTCATTTCGAGTATAATCACATAATCCTAGTGCAAGAGTTAACTTGGGAGGTACCAGCTATCCAGATTCCACATTTAACGTTGTCTAGCACGCAACAACCTTGAGACAGCAACATATTTTCAATGCTTTCTCCTTTCCGTATCTTCCCCGGAAGATTCAGTCTCTCTGCAAGGACGGCTACGGAAGAATCAAAAGAAAAGGCACCAATACGCATCCAATCTGATGGTACATGATATAAAAAGAAGTTACTACATCAATAGTTTTCTAAATCTAAGACGATAAAGCTGCAGCCATTGCGCCTGTAACACATGTTATATGCACTTTAAGAAAGAGTCAGTCAGTGGTTGGGTATATTCTAGAAAGATATACACCAAGAATTCGCGTCATTACTAAACAAGCAGAAGTAGAGGATGAAGAATAGATGTTGAAGTTGTTAGTGGTCTCTGGTCAGTTCAAGGAAATTCCATTCAAAAATATTTTTCTGCCATGTTGACACAAATTGATTCACCAAAAGAAATTATCTTCCAAGACTAATTTTAAAAGATAATAGAAGATAATGTGGTAAAGAATAAAAATCTGGAATAGGGGAATTCACCAAAAGAAATTGTGTCAAGTGATAACCGGCCACTCGATTGATGTAGTCTATATTAAAAAACAAAAATATACTATTATATAATTTGACAAATATAATTTAAATTAAAATTTTTATCATAATAAATCCCATTTAAAATAAGATAATTCTTTAATTCAAATTTAAAATCTTCACTTAAATGTGCTATGAATTTCATAAAGTCGGTTTTATTTAAGGGTTAAATAAATGTTTGGTACTTTAAAATTAGTCCCATTGTAATCGATAACTCCAACAAAAATAAATTTGATGTTTTTTATATTCAATATTTGATATTGGCCATAAATTATTACTCTTGAATCATTAGTGTTATTTGCTAATTTCGCAAATGTCACATTAAAATAGTTATAAATATCTCATTAAAAGATTACACATCAATAAGTTAATTCAAAAATAGCATAACAAGAATCATAAACAATTTAATAAGCATGAAAAATTAACGTACTTATTAAATATTTGATATTACTAAAAAAATAAGATACCAACATAAAAAATAGAACAAATTTAGAAATAAAAAAATCTATTTAACCTTTTATTGAATTAAAAAATTATGACTTCCTCTCCACTTAAACAATATACCCTTTCCATTTCATTTTAACGTTTAAGGTTTTTATAGACGAATTAAGAAATATAATTAATATTTTAAATTTTATAAAAGTTATTATAGTGTACATTTTTTTAATACACTTCTTATCTAGTAGATATTATGGGATGTATAAATAAAATTAAAGATATTATGAAAAAATATATTCATTATTCTCTTCATAATATAAAAAAATATTTTTTTTACTAAAACATGAAACAACATGTAAATAAATGACTAAATAATAGCCAAAGTCATTACATGTCTGTCTATTTTTCTTTTATAATTTCTATCATATATATAATTTATTTTCTTTTCTGTTTTTGTCTCAAATATAGATAAATATCTCTACCAAGATGCTTAGTTACTAGATAGAATATGAGAGTTTACCATCAGTTAAGAAAATTCAGACCTCTAATTTCGTTCTTTAAAAGGATGTAAAATAGAAATTAGGACTGAGGAGGAACCAAGTGTGGCTAACCAAAACAAAGAACCAACTCACCGATGTGTTTCTCTTTTTGACGGAACATGTATGAGTGGCTTCCATCTGAAATTTCCTTTCAAAATTGAAGTTAATCGGACGATGCCTCCACTTGATTGATTGAACATTGAAGAAGAATTGTGTGGTCTTACCAAAGGCTGACGTGTACAACTTGCACCACCTGAATGCCACACGTTCTGGGGGTGGGACCTGAAGATCACGCAGGCACACGAACTTCCATATACCGTCCTCCATAATAACACGCTGGAACCATCGGCTAGTGGCTGCCAGCATCACCAGAGATCTTCCATCCAGAAATTTAGCAATCTCTGTCCAAATGTCTTCTTCGAACCTTCTCGTTCAGCGTTCACAACAATTACACAATGTTCAGACAAAAAATGAAATACTAACTAACCAAACCACTACAACTGAAAAAGTAAACATAGATTCCAGATTCCACCAATTAATTAAGCTTTCCTACATACAGATAGAATCCACAGTAAACGACGATCTGAAACTTTTTAATATTCTCTTAATTAGAGATTGGAAGAGAAAAAAAAAAAAGAGAGGCATCCATTAATCTATATTAAATAAAGCTATAGAAAAACAACGATCTGAAATTCCGACTAGTTTTAACATTTTCTATTTAAGAAGTTCATTGAAATCAAATACACATCAGAATTTGAGGAGTGATTAAGCTTTTGTGCAGTTTAAAATAGGAACGATATAGACGATCGATAAGAAGCAAATTGCATTCACAAATTACCAGCTGATGAAAGCTTACTCGTTTCCTCTTATGTCAAAAACGTCACAAACATGATTCCACGCACGATTTAAAATTTAACTCGTTATCAAAAAATATATTCGAAGTTCATCCCCAAGCTGAGACTCTGTAAGATCGTATCCAAAAGCATCTTGCGAAAATAATAATAATAATAATAATAATAATAATAATAATAATAATAATAATGATAATAATAATAATAATAATAATAATAATAATAATAATAATAATAATAATAAACAAACAAGGAGATCTGCAATAAAACGTATCAATTAATAGGTCACACAGTTCTTTTAGGAGTCTCAGAGTAAGCAAGCAAGCATATATCCTGCTAATTGTTTAAGCATGATAAACACACAAATCAGAGAAAAACTAACTGAATCACGCGGAGCACAGTTCAAAAGCCATATCTAAACGAAAATCCGAACCGAGTTCAAATCTGTGACTAATAAACGCATAATTGGATACGAATGCATTTAATACAAAGCATAATTCATATATACAAGCAAATTGATTGAAATTTAAATCAACTTTTTGATAAGATTTTCAGAAATATAGAGAGAACCAAGAGAAAGTGCAATGAGCCGAGAGAAACGGAGGACGGGGAGAGTTGCAAGAGCAAATGGTTTTGCTCCTGCGGATCCGCTTTTCCGGCTGCATCTCGCCGGCTGAGGAAGTAGCGTTTTGAAGGCGCTTTCCCATGCTGCCTCTGGAATCTGAGATACCTTCTTCTTTTCAATCTGAAATTCTCAAGCTGAAGTGGGGAAACAACAACCCACTCTCAACTCAGAACTGAAATACAACGGTTCATATGAGCTTAATTCCCTCCTTTTATAGGCGCGCCAAAAGCTCCTATTTCAAACAAAATAATAAAATAAAACGAAATTTAATTAACAGTTTTAATCTTTATTATAAATTCTTTTTTGAATGAAACTTCTTTTTTTTCTTTGAGAATCATTAAATTTTAGTAATAAAATAAAATATTAGTAATATTCTGGTATTTAAATTTCCTATTTAAATTTTATTAGTTTTAATCCTGTCAATTTTAGAATTGATAAATATATGATTTTAATCCATCAACTTTTTTACCAAATGTTTCTCACATGCTACTTCTGTGTGTGATTTAAATATAAAATATTTAACTCATTGCTTCCTCTATTTCAAAATGTAAATTTTTAATAAAAATAATATTATATTAAATTTCAAAATCATTGAAAAATTAAACATCACATAAAAGGAAATACTGATATGTAATTAATTGTCTAGTAGTAATAAGTATTGATATTTACATTTACTCAAATCTTATGCTCCTATTACATCCACCTTATCAATTAAGTTCTGCTTCATTAATTATATATCAGTTTTAAATGTTGTATAAGACAATGTATAATTACTTCTGTTAGATCAAATATGATCCAATTCTTAAAACCTATTGACAACAAACAAAAACTATATGCTTACGAGAAAGTCTAATTCTTCAATGTATTTATCACAGAGACATTTATTAAATGTATTTTTATACATATTAATAAATTTTATTAACTGTGAATATTTGACTTATGAAATATTTAGATAAAAATACCATCCAAATAAGTTTTTAGAATAAATTTAACTTATGAAATGTTTAAAGTAATCAAATTCAGATACATATTAAAATGGTACATATAATATGTCAAAAAACATATGATATTTTATCTATTATTTTTTACAGACATTATTTCAAATAAATTTTTATGCATTGTTTCTAATTTAAAAATGTTGAAAATTATTTAATATTATTCATTATTTTATTCTGCTTGGTTTAAAAAAAAATATAATTAGCGTGTTTAATTGCGATTTTGTTTCACAATTCGTTAAAAAGTTTACTATAGAATCAAAATATGTTGCTTTAATCGAAAAGCTAATTTGTGAAAAGGTATCACATGTTGGTTTGGGGGTGGAGGGGAAAAGGGTCCTAAATCAATAAACCCCAAACCAAATTTGGTTTAATTTTGAATAGGCCGAATGCAAATACAGCAGCAATTGACCCGGGAGAGAAAAAAATCAAAAATAGCATATAGCATATACGGGTGAGCGATTACATGAAAGGCCCGAAATGTAAAATATGTGATCCTCTATAAATTGCCTCTAGATGTCATCATAATTTGAAGAACATCCTTGCATGTTAGGCAAATGCCTCCAGCTAATTGAACAGAAGTTATCTATTTATTTTATATAATGATATACAAATTATACTAAACTAGTAAAAAATTAAAAAATGGCTCCATTGGACGAATGTTTACTGTGGTTTGGAAACAGCAATTTTTTAAAAAGCAAATAAAAGCTAAACCTAATTCATATATCTCCTACAATTGGGGGCTTTGCAAAGGCAGGGAACTTTCAGCTCGTCCCGCTCATCTGGATCGAACAAGTAATCGTACCTGTTGCAAAATCAGAGGAAAAAGGTAGTTCATTCATGTCAGGCTAATCAAATTCTTCAACCATCAAAAAAATATGCAAAAACAACAAACCGTACGTTAGTTCTTCACCAGCAGAAACATTAGTCTTGGCAATAAGAACAATCCGACTCTCCTGATCACCCAGACTCATTATCCTTGCGTAGCAGTTTGGCATGCACTGAAGCAAATCAAAGGTCGAACATCAGTTCCTTTCTTTTTTTGTTTTTGGCTCATTGTATTATTATCTTTATATAAAACCACATGATGCACGATTGTATTTGAACTGGATAATGTTGAAACAATATTCATAATCTAACCACAACATTCGCCACATTTTTCTTCTTTCTTTTAGAAAAACAAGAACAAGAAGGAATTGAACTACAGCTGTATAATAAAACCAGAACAGGGGCATCTAGCAGCCTAAGGCAGTTAAAATTTAGGAGGGAAAAAAGGCCAGGTTACTAAAAACAATACTCTCCCCCCCTTTTCCTCCTTTATGCCTAACAAAGTATTAGAGCAACTCTCTGGGACATGTCATAATATAAAATAAAGAAAAACAGACAAGATTCATGAAATTACTCCAAAATATAATTATAACTTACAGAATGATTTATTAAACGTGCAATATTGCCTGTGTTAGTTGCATCAACTACCACTTCCTCACTAATCTTGAACAGCTGCAAATGTTATATTGTTTCGTGTTAAGATTAGCAGTAAATTAACTCAAATATTAATAGCAGTCATAAACCTGTCAAAACAGGCTTTTCAACTAATTACCAATAGACTTCCCCTAGACGAAAAAACATAAAACAACCTTAAATATAACACTCACATAGCAATCTTTGCCTTCTGAGCGGTATTTTGCTTCCCTCAGATCAGCAACACTACGCCTTACATGCACGCCACGGTACTCAACAACCTACAAACAAACACAACAAGCATGAAGTTAATGTCTTCGGAATAAACTGCAGTAAGATAATTTACCTAAATTTGAGTGACTCTTGAACTAGTAAAGTTACCATCTCTCCTTCTTGTATATCTCTACGAGCAAATAGGCCCCATCCATGAATGCCCGATTTTCCAAAGCAAACTCTCAATTTTTCCATTTTCTGCTAACCCATACTATAATTAAACTTAAATATTTTAAAAAAGAAAAAATGAGATAATTAAATGGACAGATATGATTTACCCGTAAATGGTGAAGACGTTCCTTGAAAGAAGTGAATACTTTAGATTCATCACCATCCTATCACAAAGCACGTTCATCAGATAACATATGGGCCCTTTTTCCCGTCATATTACAGTAACAACTCAGCAGAAAAAGGTCTAACTCTATATCTTGTTAGCCACAAAAATCACCTTATACAGGTTCAACTGAGTTACTGCACCAAGAGAATGAAGGCTGGGTCCTGTCGGCCGGTGAATTATTGGCACATCGGCCCTCTGACAAAATGGGAGGAAACGAGTTGAAAAGGGACCAAAATGAAAATAACAGATAATGTAAGAAATAGCATTTTGTATCAGCAATTACAATTAATAAAGGAACAGAATAGGGAATGATAAAAATACCAGAAGTGGTTGGCTATAAATAAAATGAAACATAAGACCAAAAGATAAGTTAATATACTACTATGTTCACGATCGTATTTGGAATCACCTTACTAGGAGACCTACGGTAGACACGGCATCTGGCAGAAGACAATGGCTCAACTACGTCATTTTCGGTGGTTGAAGATTCAATAAGCTCTATATTCTTTGATGAAATTAGCCTTGATCCCCTCAAGCATCCCTTCTGATCTTGAAGCGATGTTCTGGGAGAGAAAATCCCCAGGGGTGTGTGTACGACAAGTACTGAATCTGGATTTGGGACCCTGAGATGGAATTAACTTTCAATACCAGTTTCTAGAAAAAGACGTGGAAAATAGCATTACGTATAATAACAAACAACACTAAAGCTCAAACCTGTGAACTGCACAATATATTAGCTTCTTTGTTATTTGAGTTCCATTCTTCTCCATGGAATGCAGCTGTAAATTCAAACAATATCAACATATTTTCACAGCTCTTGCAATCCACATATAATCAAATTCAACCAGCATTGAAAACTATTCTTTTGAGACGAAAATATAAACAATTTGTATGCCCTCCACAAAAGTCAGAAAACATATGAAAAAACAAATCTAACAATAATAGCCATTCCAGATCCACATATTTACATTTAAAAGACAGACAAAACTTACTTCCATGGTATATCCTGCCCTTGATGCACACATCACATGAAAATATGTAGCACACTTGCAACAAGTTATACAGGAACCGTGGCTCTGTTTACAAATCACACAAGTCTGCAGTCACAGGGACAAGAACCATACACAAGTTCATTATAACAAGCCAGCAAAACAAAAAAGAGAGCCAAGTGATAGCATAACAATAACCACACAACAATCTTCGTGAACATTTAGAGAACAAAAATAAAAAATGAAGATGGAAGATGATAAAGTGGATTTTGGATTGTCAATGTAAACAAAAAGTAACTTGGAAGAATGAAATTTCTGTTTTGAGAAAAGTCATCCAAAAGTTATTTGAAAATAAGTATATGGTTTAATAAAATTCATTTTGGTTTCCCAGTCAAATAAAATTTATTATCAGTCAGAATTGATTTGAGGCAATAATTAGCTAGCTGAAACCAACAGTTCAAAAACAAGATCATCATTTAGCGAGCCTACCTTGACAAATGAATTAGGAGGAATTTTAAGGACTCCCATAGCAGGTTCCATGGCCTCATGGTTTTGGAAAACAACTTGAGGTCGAAACCAAGCACACGTTACATGAACCCACAACATTTCAACATCAGTTGGCTTTAGAGCACCACCTGAAAAAGCAAGTATTTGCAATACAGTAAAAACATATTAACACTTGACCACAGCACTGACCAATAAATATAAATATATGAGGGACAAAAAGGCTGGTGCAAATTGCAAATTCATAACCTAGGATTCTTAGATAACTACAATCACATTTGTGTCAGGAATAGAGTCATAAGAGGAAATCTAAACAATGTGAAAATGGAAATGGCAAAACATTAGATATTGTGATAGATGATCTACCAAAGAAAAACAATTTGTTTAATATTATTGAGGTTAATTTGATATAATATATTAATGAAAAAGGCCTCCTCTTTAAGAGTTCTGAATTCACCATTTACTACTTTCATATAATTTAACATCACAAGATATAGACACAAAAAAAAAACAAAGTTCAGACAGCTATAATACTGAACGAGACATGCCTTTTACTGGGCAGAGGCAACACTCTCTCTCAACATCAGGAGTTTCACATACTCTGCAAACCCAAGAAGTTAAATCCTGAACATGTTTTGCCCCATAGCACTCTTGGTGGACTGCTATTTGGCATCTGCACAATGAACAAGCAAAAATATGTAAATGAATGTTACTACCTCTAAAGCCTCCTAAATTTTAAATAAAACATTAAACCCCCAAAATTCCAAATCATAAAGGGAAAATAATATGAAAAGTAATGAAAAAACCTGTTACAAATAATAATTTTGTTATCTTCCCAATCTTCAACCCATCTGCAAACAGCACATCTTTCTGTTGTCCATTTTGCATTAACAGGCTCATACTTCTCTGAGACAATAAAATAGAAGTAAAATAAATTTGTTTCTAAAGATATATTCAAAAGAAAGCATGTATCTGCTATGTACCATATGGCTTGGTCAATTAGAAAAAGATGCAAGGCTTCAATATGTAAAGTTTACATAAAATGCACATTTACCTTGCAAAAAAGCAAGTACCTGCTGTTGATCTAACTGTTGAGATATTCCCTCTAGTGGAATGTGTTCTGCCATCTGAAGTAATTAACATTAAAGTCAACAATGAGAAATAAGTACAGCAGAGTGACCCAAAAAAAAAAAGAACACTATAATAGACTCTCAAGAACACCATGTAGGACTAGGAATGAGGAGAGTTTTGGAAACAAAATCAATGCAGACAGCAATCAAGAAGGAATCCATGTGATAGGACAAATGCATTGACTGATAATTTTAAATCACCAAACACAGAGCCCACCAGAATTATTTGGCATCCCTCTAATATCGCAAGAAATACTACATACCCATTTTTCCAGTGGTAGCATTGTACTTTTCACTTTCACACTATGTTTCCATTTTTTTGCTCTGCAACCTGTATGTTTTTCCCATTCACTAAGTGTCTGCTTCCTTGAACCACAAGAGCCACACCTGCACATGACTCTGCAAGAAAAGCAAATCACAACCTGGTCAATGAAATTCTTCAGGGAAGAACTCAAATGCATACACCTGAGATTCTTTTATGCTTCATAACTGTTTTCTTCATATAGAACACCTAGTAGTCAGGAGGATAAACAATACTATTGAAGGTGATATTTTTTTCTGGAATAATAATGGATAAATGCTAACATAATAGTCAACTACAAAAATCATAAATAAAACAAATGCATATGCATTATCTGGAGGGAAAAAAGAAAAATCCCAGGGGTTAAAAAGGAAAGACAACACAGTAAAGAAGTGGCGAGAGATCCTCTCGAGGAACATGAACTCAAGCCCTAGTGTGGGGAGTATTAAAATAACTTCCTTCCATCATATATAAGAAGTCAAATATTCAAATCAAATTATCTCCCATAATATCCAAAAAAATGTTAAGGCTTACAGATGAAGCTTTGGGATATACATTCCTTCCATGCCATTGCACACCACCAATACATTATCAGGTATCAAAGATCTTTGGCTCTCTATTGATCTGTATAAAATAAAATCACTCATAAGACCCGGAATAAAATAAATTGCGGTAAAATGGATGAAAAAGAAAGAAAAAATAAATTACTACATACTTGATTTTTGGCTTGTATGTTTGTGATGCTGGTAATTTACATTTGAACTTCCCCTTGCAATCTGGACAGTAGTAATCTATATTTTCCAGATCCTGTAACAACAAGTCACATTTCTCTCAGCTACTTCATAAAAGAGACCAATTAAAAAAAAAAAGTTCCATCATGTTAAACAAGATACAGCACCTTGAAAAGTTTGCTGGTAATTTTATCACACTCAGCATGCACCCACACATTACAACCATCACAGCACACCTGATACAGAGTGTTCAGCCCCAAAAAGATATCAAAATTTTGAGTATGTTGAAACACAAATTAAATTTAAAATAAAACAAAAACTAATTTGACAAACAGACAATCTCACCCAATTCCCACCATCTGAGTGATGCCAAATCCTTTTGCAAATACCACAGTATTGTTTTGATTTTCGTAGCTGCAAAAACAAAAAAAAAAAAAAAAAAAATATGTACTGTAAAACTATTTACTGAAAATTTTGAAAAGTATTACAAATCGACCATTTTGCATAACCTTAATACAGTGTTTGCAATAAAATTGGGGTCCACAATTTGAATCCTTGATCTTCTTTATGGTTTTGCATGGCAACATCAGACCACATCCCGCACAATACCTTGTAACCTGCAAAATATATCCACTGGATAAAAATATACAAATAACATAAATATACAAGACAAAACATCATAACCAAACATGTACTGTAGTTTAGAAAGTTGCTAAAAAACTTAAGAATTTGGAACTTCGGCTATGGGCATCGCAAAACCTGTTTGTTTAAAGCTTATCAAACAGGGTGTCACTCGTGGTTGAAAGATTTAAATAATACTGCATGGTCGGTTTTATTTCTTTTGTTGGGTTGAATACCTTTTAACTTGGGAGTAACGGGCAATAAAACCATTTAATCTAGCATTTCAACCATTAATTAAAAACTAAAAAACCATAATTGCAAATGTGATAGACTGAAAAACCATAATTTAAATTTTAAATGCATGATGAATTGCTCAATTGTAATAGACTAATTGGTTATTCACTTGTCTTTAGCGTGTCACTCCATTCAGACATGATTTTCTTACTTCAATACAAGTAAACGGTATTCGTACATAGCCACATACAGCCTACATATAGGAGCGGTGCCTCCTTCTGGTTGAAACAGGCTTTGGCTCCACTAAATCCATAGGGAAAAGAGTAGCTTTATAAAATAATTTTAAGAAATTTAATAAACTTTTACTAAAGCTTTGTCTGCCTCAAAACATTAGTTTTTCCCTGTTGGCCGTTCTAGGTTTTTCTTCTATTTTTTCTAGTTCCAGCCCCAGCTGAAGAATATATATCATAGGCACTCCATCCTTCCACCACAGACAAGCAGCCACATATAGGCACTTATCCGTCAGTCCTTCCTTCATAATTGGCTCCTGCAGCCTTTGTCAACGATAAATCAACAATAATAAAACCCTTTTCTTATGCATAACAAAGTTTATAAAAGCTCTCATCTGATCATAAAGCATAAAATGAAAAACTAATAACATAAAATGAAAATCTCACCAGATCCTGGCCGTAGTATTCTTCATCGACATAATAACACGTAGCCTCCATAAGGCCAGCAGGATGAGGTTCTGCATCAGCTACTTCCTCTCGTCCCAAATGTGATTCAAGAACACCATCTTCTGCCAGCATTGCCTCCTCCAGGGCCATGCGGAAGTCACTCGGTTTGCTCTTGTACAACCGGGTTTGCCCCTGAAACCTGAATAAAAATCAATTACCATCAATTAAACATTCAACATTCTTCCAGAATCAATCCACTACAACACATCCAAAAATCATTCAACCACACACCTGTCCAAGAAATCCGAGAAGGGGAAAACCATTCCCTGCTTCACCCACGCATAGTCCTGCACATCATCACTTTATTAGACCCACCACCAAAACTAACATCAAAAAGTCAAATTCCGGACAGCGTAAACAAGACTTGGAGATAACTTTACCCTTTGAGTTCCATTCTTTGAATAGCCAAAAAACATCACGCATAGAGAGCCGGGAATACAACAGCTGAGTACGGACTCTGGAGCCTCCAAGACAGGATCAATCACCACAGCAGGCCAAGCCGGATACCTCTTCCCACACTTAGCCCAAACTATATCCCCCAAAGCAAAATCCTCGGGCTTGAAAACCTCATTCCTCTTCCCCCCATTGGATTTTTGGTCCACACCCTCAAAACTAATCCCAGACGTATTACTCTCAGCCATAACAACACTCCTTCGCCCAAAACTCGACGAACAACACACACTATCACTCTTCTCCACTCTCACACCAATGTCACCCCTTCCATCCTCCACATAACTCTTATCATTATCTTCAAAGCTCGAGTCTCCATCTGCGTCAAGAACCGAGTCATTGAACCTCGACGGAAGCTTCTGGACGCGCCCACGTGAGGACCGCAGAAGCGGAGGACGACGCGCCTCCTTCACCATTTTCCTATCAAACAGAAAAGAATTGGAATTGGACTGAACCTCACCACCGCCACCCCAATACGAGCCTTCACTGCTCCAAGAACCAGAACCGCAGCTGAAATATTCAGCGTCTCCCGGCACTGCCAGCGAGTAAAACCCGTTCACCCTACGCTTCTTCTGAATCGCATTCTCTGAACCGTCAATCTTGCATCGTTTCAGGTTCGGCGCTTCGGCTTTCATTGTCCGCTTAACTATCATGCTATTGCAACCATCCACATCGACGATTTCGAGCACCGCGAAACCCTAATTACATTCGAATCGAAGCGCCGTCGCCAAGAATCTTGCAATCCGAACCCAAACCTCAAGATACTTAGTCAAATTCACAATATATCCTGTTATTGGCACGAGTATTGAATCTTGCAACGCTCTGCAAATTGCGAGTGATTGAATTTATTTTTAAACCCTGAATCGAACAATGAAGTCGCTAGGAATGAAAGAAGGAAGGTTTGAGTGGGTTTTTTCTTAACCTTTTGAGAACTCACAAGAAACGGGAAGGCGAGACAACTGGACGGAGATTGAAAAGTTCGTTTGGATCGCAGAAAACGATTAACAGGGACGCCGAACGATAAATCCCGGGAAAACGCAGGGTGAAGATTTTCCCGAGAAAGGAGCAATTTGAATTGGCAGAGAGAACAAGAAACAAGCAGGAGAAGCTTGTGTGGGTATATGTATGACACAGGAAACGCCCCGTCCAAAACACACAGCACAATAAACAAAAGAAGTGTCAGGCGAATTTAATTTATACTTTCCAAGAAAAAGAAGAATGGGAACTATTAATTAATTTTTCTAATACTACAAGTAAATAGATGGTTTATTTGAAATAAAGTTTTCTTCATTAATTTTATGTTTGAAAACTTTAGAATATATTTTTTTGCTAATTAATTTTATGATTGAAGAATTTATAGAAAAAAAAACTTTAAATATGTTTTTAATCATGACTTTTATATTTTAAACTTTCATTTTTTTTATAATATTTTTTTATCATTCCAATCAAAATTAAATATATATGGGAAGTGTTTTACTTTTTGACAAAATGGATTTTTATACTTTAATTATCAATAAAACCACATAATTTATTGTTAACCACATAAGGTGTATTATGTGAATAAGGTTTAGTGATTAATCTACCCTCATCCTCTAAATTATAACTTTTTATTTTAAGAATTAATTTTTTTCTTTCTTTATTCTTTATTTATACCCTCCTGGATGAGAACCAGGGATCAAGATGGAGAAGATAAAAAACTAAATTGGATATACTGATGAAGAAGATAAAAAAATAAATTCAATGTGCACAAAAAAAATATTATTTTTTTTATATTTTATTATAATTAAAATTAAATATATTATGATATTATTAAAATGTTTTTTTCAAATAAATTAACTTATATTATTTTAAAAATTATCATTATTTCTCATTATACTTATTTTATCATCTGGTTTTACTTTTTTTTCTATATATGTTATTTTGTTAACTTATTTTTAATCTAATTTTATTCATATTCAGTATGTGAGAAAAAAAAGCTAGTAAAAAAATTTCACCAATTTTGTTCCTTTATATGCAGTGCATTTTCCAAAATACAATATGTTTATATATAATTTTTTTAATTATTTTATATATTTTATAGTATTCTAAAATTCATTAATTTTTTTTTATATATTTTTATGTAAATTCACTTAAAATGGTGTATAACCAGGTTTTATTTTTCATTCACGTTAAAACCCAAATTTACTTAATAGATTATATATATATATATATATATATATATATATATATATATATATATATATATATATATATATATATATATATATATCTTCTCTTCGTCATATATAATATGTTATCAAATAATCAAATATTACAATGAAATGATTAAAATGTATGAATAAATATTCAATTTTTTTAAATTATAAATAAATATTATAAATAAAATAAAAATCTCTCTCGATTACTATCAAATATCATGTATAATTTATATAAGAATAAAAAAATATAAATACATAGAAAGTGTTAAATATAAATAAAATATAAATCTCAAATTGATTCAAATATATATATATATATATATATATATATATATATATATATATATATATATATATTATCTTGAGTTAACAATTTATTAAAAATCATTAAAAGTTGTTCTTAATATTTTTCTTGACACTTTCATTATGTTCTCCTGTATTTTCTCTAACATATATTTATATTTATGATGTGAGAGTTACGTGATTAACATTTTAATGATACAGGTATGTTCCATGAAAAAGCCATAAAATAAAAGAAATTTCACAATTATAAAGACTTCTATCATGATCTTTTTCCTAAATATCTCTTTCGTCGCAATAAATAAAATATTTATAATTATTTTTTTAAAATATTCTTTTTAAAACTCATTTTATCTCATATTTTACTAATCATTTAAATAACTGATTTTACATATAATTAATCATTATTACTCATCATCCTAAATCCATATATATTCATTTTAAATAATCAATTACTTGAGTAGAAAAATACTTCTATATTTTTTTCGTACATTTAATAGATTATTGTTAACAAAAATTAATTAAATGTGGAATGATGCATCAAATACGCCTAAATTAATCAATTACCCCACTTAGAAAAGCAGTTAAATATTTCCGTTCTCGACGGCTCAAATTACTCTACAAAATAGTTGTAAGAAACATTGTTTTTAAAAAAAAATGAAGTACGTATTAAATATATAGTATTAAAGCGTGACATGTAAATCATTAGGTCTATAGTGTGAAAATAAAAATGAAGAAAAAAATATAAAATTAATGTATTGATTTCATGAGTGTCGTGTAAAAAAATTGTAATTTTTAAAAATAATAAATGAAAAAATATGAAATAATTATATAATTATAATTACATGCTTTACGAAAAGTATTTTTTTTAAAAACACTATTTATTATATATATATATATATATATATATATATATATATATATATATATATGTCAAGTTTATATAAGCTTTAAAAAAAAATTGAAGATTAATTATTTTTTATTTTATTAGGTTTTTTATTTATTTCTCTTAATTAATACTTATTTTATTAATCCACTTAGTCAATTTCTCTCTTACAATTTTTATCTATAAATTCTAATCATAATTACATATATTTAAAAATAAAAATCAAGATAGTTTAAATAAAATAATATAATACTAATAATCTATTTTTTATGAAAATATAAAATTTGTAATTTTCATAATTTTTTTTTCATATTTGATGAAACATTGTTTATATTTATATTACATTATATTATATTATATTATATATATATATATATATATATATATATATATATATATATATATATTCAGTTTTATTGATCATTAAAGACAATATTTTTTTGTTTATTTTTATTTTTTTCTTCAAACTAAATGAAAGTATTTACTATTGATTAAATTGGTAAGACTTGTGTCCACCAACCAAATGTTCCAGTTTGATTTATGGTTACGTCACACTTTTTGTCAAATGAATTATGTTTGAAGCTAATACTCATGCTGTATTCGTTCAACATCTCCAATAATATTGGTAACTAGTTTTCAACGCAATAATTTATATCAATATTATTATTAAAATAAATACCAATTAATAATTCAGATATTATATTTTACCATCATATAACAATTTAAGATATTGTGTCGATTTGTTTATCTTTATTTTTTTTTAATATTATTAGAAAAAGTACTTATTATCATATCTCTATCATTTTGTATACAAAAATTTAAATGACATTGTGATAAATTGTTGAATCAGTCACTAATAAAGTAGTTTATTGAGTTGGCTCATCTTATAAAAAAACAAATTATAGATAATTTTTGTAATAATTTATTGAAAATGTCACAATTGAGGTTCATATCTATATAACATAGAACTTGATTATAATATATTTTATACGGGGGAAATAGGCTGATAAACATGTTTTGGAAATCATGGTTTTATTAATTAGCTATGTTTTGATAATTATTGTAAAAAACTAATATAAAGATATCAGGGATCTATTGAACGTTCGACTATATGAATATTCATCTAAAATACTGCTAACTGGAATTTCAATAAATTTTTAATGATCTAACATGATTCCAAACATGCATGTTAAATATTTTTAAATGGTAGCTTTAATCGAACTAGTTATAATATAGAATGTGATAAGTATTTTTCCAATGAAAACTTAAAATCTTAAAATTAATTACAAAAACTAATATAAAATAAAAATAATTTATCAAATAAGTTTGTATTGTGAAGGGAAAAAATATTAAAAAAATGTATATAAATTGTTTGACCACCTAGCCATCAGTAATGAATGTGCTATTTTTAATTTATTTATTTTTGTTCCGAAGAATATGGAATACATGCGATTTGGTAGTGGAAACTTGGGCCAATCAATATATTATTTTTCGTGTTAACATGAGTTATCATTTACTACTGCACATGCAGAAGTGTCATAAAAATACTATATTTTCAATTATATTATTTTTTTTAGATTTAGTTCAAATTAAAATATTTCCTATATAATTTAATTCAGTAAAAATATAATAAAATTGATTTAACAAAAAATATATATATATATATATATATATATATATATATATATATTTATGAAACTGACTTGTCAGTATTAAAATATTATATAACTTATGTCATGAATTAATGTATTTTGCAGGAATTTAAAGGCCAGAGTTTGGATCGGGAAATCATGTAACTGGACACGCAACGGGCTTAATTTGGGCTTATTTCGAGTCCATAACAACCCGTGTCCTCTTCCCCTGTTAGACTAGGTTTTCATCTTTTCTTTCGCGCGCCGCGCTCTCTCCTCTAACAAGATTTCCGTCTTCTTCCTTCGAAATCCCTTTTCATTTCAACCTTAAAATCTCTCTTCTTCTTATTTTCAGTATGCTATCTTTTATTCGGCATGGAAATGATGGGAATAGTAAAAGGTTTGAGCAGGAAGAATGCATGTTGGTTGGGTTTGGCGGTGACAGTGTTTTGGGTTAGGGCAAAGTGAAGAAGGCCCCTGTCCCTTGCCGAGTAATTGCATCGCGACACTCGCAACTTCTTCCATATCAACGGTGGTTACAGGGGTTGTATGAAAAGGCGTGGGTTGCATTCTAGTATGGAATCACAACTTAGACTTCTCCCCACATTTTGTTTCATCCCTTCCATTCAATCACTGTTCCGCCACCAATGCACTTCCTGCGTTGATTACAACCTTCCCTCTGATCCATGCCTCCAAACATTTTCCTTTCTTCCATTTACCCGTCATCATTGAATATTCACTAACCTAAAATGTTTCAATTATTCCTTTTTTGCGTTATTTCTGCTGCATTTATTTTTCTTTTTATAAATATATAAATAAATTTGATGTATGTTATTGTCAGATCTTGACGTTGTTGGTAATGTGCATATATGATCTATACCAGCAAGTCACACACAAGGTACGGTTCTTCAACAAATATTCTCATTGAGCATGTAGATCACAGATCAGCAGGATACACATGCATATGAAAAATTAGATTTTTTTTCATTGTTACGTTGTTACTTATATTCAATTCTGAGTGGAGGCGTGTTGGATTGATTTAACTACAGAACATTTTTGGATTGCATGAGTAACTCTGAGGGTTTGGATTTTGGATGTATCGTATTGTGCATCTTCCTATTTATCTTTTATTAAAATATAGTTGGTGAAAAGCAAATGAGACATGATACGAGGGTAGTCATGGGTTGCTGCACTTTCTGGTTCACTGTATTCTGCAACTATATCATTAAGTTTGTCTTTAGCGAGGATGTTTTCTTTTGAAGGATATCGCATTACTTTTTTTCAACCTATGCTTAAACAAATCTGTTCTGAAAATTTTAATTATACCCATTGCTTCATTTATTACTTGTTATTTTCCAAAAAAAAAAACACTTTTGCTGCATTTTGTAGTAAAAAACGTTTCGTATTCTGGTCTCTTTTTTTGGTTTCCGAATAGAAAAATCGTCTTTTTGGCAGCCATATGCCATGGTTATTATTATGGTTTTTTTGTCATTAGCCTGTGAAATTAACCGTGGTAATTTCTTCACTTGACATCAATAAATTTTGACTAAAAATCTGATCAGGAATTGTCAAATAAATAAATTATTATCTATAATGGCTATATGTATTTTAAATTAACTATAAATGTCTTACTCTTTATTGTTCAGAATTTTTTACTATAATCTATTATGAATTGCACGTTACAGATTAAAATTTCACATGTTTATAATATTAATATTATTTAAAATCATATAATATTTTTGGGTTATAAAAATATGTAGAAATCAATTATAATTTATGGAGAATGTTTAATAAATTCTTCAAGTGCTTTAAGCATCTCTCCATAAAGAACATGACATAATATGAAAAGTTATTTCAAATTTTGGGGATTCATGTTGTTTATGATAAAATATAATATTTAACATTTAATAAAACCATTCATCATTGATTCAAAATTTATTCTCAAATTGAACTGAACATCAACCTAAAAAATTATATGAATTCATATATTGTGAATAAATTATTACAAAATATCAATTATAAACCACAATAATCATTAATTAAGAATAATCAAATTTAAAATAAAAACAGTAAATTATATGAAATTCTCAAGTGATGTGGTGACGAAGAACGGGAAAATATGTCATCGTAACAAACACGATGGCCGCGCGGACTTAGTGATGACAATGGTCACAAAGATATCAACAACGATAATAGTGGCGGTAACAATGTACCACTGACGTGTAGTTGTTAGGAGAAAAAGGGAGGAAGGGAAGTGTACCCGTTTCTATCAAGAGAGTTGTTTGTAGTTTGACGTGTAGTTGAGTAATAAATTTTTTCTACTATAAAACCTCAATGAAGGTTAAATAAATTCCACCTTTTCTTAAATTATGGATGTTAATCAATTTATTTACTTTTATTGTTATAATTTATTACAAAATCATATCTCTTAATTATTAAAATTATATTTATTTATTATTATTTTTTATGTTTTCATAACCTCTAAAAACAAAAAGATGATGGATATTTATTCTTTATCAACATATAAATATAGTAAAATATACCTAAAAAATTTTGGTATAACAAAAAAATAATAATAATAATAATTAATTTTATGTATTATACTTTTTAATGTTATTTAGTTTTTATTATATTCAAATATTTAGAAAAAAAATAATGAAAATTAATTTTATGTATGTTATTTGGGTTTTATTATATTTATTGAAATGTTATATATTTTATATTATTTTTAAATTAAAAAATATGTTGTATTATTAACTAAAGTAATTAATTTTAAAAATAACAATTAATTATTTATATTTAATGAATATATTTATTTTATTTTTATACAAAATATTAATTAATTAAATTTTAATTAATAAATACTATAATGTATAAATATAAGAAATAATGATTTGTTAAAAATTATTTAAATTTCTGGAATAAAATTGTTTACCTATATTACCATCATTGTTTATTTTATATTATATTATTAGATAATAAATTTGAATGAGTGAATTTAAAATGATTTATAAATTATTTATATGAAAGAAAAGATAATAGATTTAATGGAATTTGAATAAAATTATTGTAATCTATAAGATTGATAGAAGTAAATATAAAAAATTGAATAATAATTTTTTATATAATAATCAAAATATTTTTATTATTTTTTGGAATGGATATAAATAGAAATAATAATTATAACATAATTGAATATAAAAATATAATTAATTTATATTGTGCATAATATTTAAATATATTGATATTATTTTATATAACAAGTATAATTTATTTTTAAGAAAAAATATACTTTATAACTCGATTTTATATATTTTTAAAAAAGTTTTATTATATAGTATGAATTTATAGGTTTTAATTCATTAATATATTAAGAGGTGGTGTCATGTAATATAATTTCGATTCAGTGTTAAAATTGTGTTATATATGATATGATTTACACACGTCTTTCAATTTCTTCAAATGCCTAGTTCTTGTTGTCATGTTATGATTTTTTCTTAAATCCCAGTGTCCAAACATTATGCATACTTAAACCCTAATGTCTCTCCTCAATCGTTTTACCCGCCAAACTCCCTCCACCGTCACGCTCCTCACGCGCCACCTCTCCTCGGCCGCATCCAAACTCCACGCAACTTACACGTTCAAACCACCGTCTTCTCTCACTCCCGAGCCCCAATGCCCCAACTCCCTTCCCACCAAACCCAACCAAAAAAAGCTCAAGCCCAAGTACCGGCCTCCCTCCTCCCTCGACCGGGCCGGCCGCAAGCCGGTCCGTTCTGTTGACCTGCCTTTCGATTTCCGGTTCAGCTACACAGAGAGCAGCCCTAAGGTGCGGCCCATCGGGCTCAGGGAGCCTAAGTACTCACCCTTTGGGCCGGGCAGGCTCGACCGGAAGTGGACAGGAGTGTGCGCGCCAGCGGTGGACCCCACGGTTGAGAGCTTAGAGGGCGCGGAGGACCCTCAGTTGGAGGAGCAAAGGAAGAAGAAGAGAGAGTTGATTCAAGGAAAACCTCTTACCAGTAATGAGAGAAAGGCATTGGTTTCGCAATTTGAGAGAAGCAAAACTAATAGGCATGTCAATCTCGGTATGAAAGTTGAAAAAAGCTTTGTTCTTTTATCTTAATTATGATCGAGGATGTGAAAAACTGTATGAGAATTGAAAAAATTAAGGACTAACATCGTAATTTATTAATATTAACTATATGTTTAATTTTTCTAAGTGTGTGGAGAGGTCTATCATTTGTTTTTCGAAGGAATGCTTAGGTTAGTTAAATGAAATGAGTTAATGTTGAGATGCTGTTTAAGGTGCAAAGGCCAGTCAAGTACCGGTAAGGAGAATAGATTGCGTGGTTTTGGTCCTGTCAAAAGGTCTAAATGGAGACCAGGATGAGCATTCTAGGAAATTGTTTAAATGGATCTCATGCTATATAAATATTCCTGAGATATTTTTATTTTTTTTTAAATAGCTGAACAGTGTCGCTTCTTGTGATTCATATAGGTATCCTCACCTAATGTGAGAAAGCTTTTAGTTGTTTTTTAAAAACAATCAAATGGTTATGCTTCAAAATGATTGATGTACACATGTTATCTTGAATTCTTTTCTTTTTTGTTTTTGTTTTTGAATCTTGTGCCAGTAGAGGTGGTATTTCATATGATCCTTTTTAGTGGTTGCTGAATTTTAGTTTGGTTTGACGGGTAGCATGCCATTCTGTGGAGTTTTGCTTGATTGAACAGACAACGTGATGTTCTGTGATCCTTTCACTGATTTTTATGCTTTGGTCGTGTTGAGAAATGAATTAGTCTATTGGTTCTGATAGCAATTGTAGTGGAAATGTATTGGATTGGTACGAAGAGGAGGCAAATTCGTCCATTTGCTGACATATATGGGAAGCATGTATGGGATGTTGTTTTCCTTTGTACTTGTTTTGACGAAAATACTGGAGATAGATGTTTAAATAAAAGTTATTGATTCCAATGCTGTGAATTTGATCTTGCCTTCTTCTTAGTCCATACAGTTTGGTCGCTCCTTTCTCAAGCTATTAAGATATTTTTGCATAGGAAAGGCTAAATGAAAAAAGCAACCAGAATTTATCCTTTTTTTAATTATTTGTTCTTCGATCTCTATCTTATCTATTAGCTATGGTCTTTGTTTGTTTTGGTTCCAGGAAGGGATGGTTTAACTCACAACATGCTGAATGTTATTCATAATCATTGGAAATTTGCTGAAGCAGTTAGAATCAAATGCATGGGTGTTCCAACTATGGACATGAAAAATATTTGTACCCAGCTTGAGGTTCATGTCTCTTCATGCTTTTTCACTTCTTTTTATCAAACTACCCTGCACACTAAAGTAAAGTTTTATACTATGATCCATTTTGAAACATGTGGACTCATATGATAGTTGAACTTCTTGTTGCATTGTCTGTGATGCTTATGTCTAAACTTGTTTGGCAACATGCATAAGCTTTCTTATGTTTTTGTTGCAGGACAAAACATTTGGGAAGGTCATTTTCAGACATGGTGGTACACTTATATTATACAGAGGCAGGAATTATAATCCGAAAAAGAGACCTGTTGTTCCTCTCATGTTGTGGAAGCCCCATGAACCTGTATATCCCAGACTGATTAAGACAACAATTGATGGCTTAAGTATTAATGAAACAAAAGAAATGCGGAAGAGAGGCCTAGCTATTCCTGCTTTAACTAAACTTGGTATGTGTGTTGTATTTTCTTATTTCAGTTGCCACTGCCAGTATGCTTTTGCAAACATTATTGACTCTGAAGTGAAATGCAGCCAAAAATGGTTATTATGCTTTTTTGATACCCATGGTCAGAGATGCTTTTCTTTCCTGCGAATTGGTTCGGATAGACTGTGAGGGTCTTGAAAGGAAAGATTACAAGAAAATAGGCTGCAAACTCAGGGTAAAGATAATTTTCTTTAGCTTTACTGATTATATTGTTGTGATAGGCAGCTTTACAATGCTACATTTACCATACACTTTTCAAATAGGATTTCAAGGATTATCTTTTAAGGAGATTGTCTGGGTCCTACTTCTTAAAAGAAATTGATTTTGAAATGTTGATAGTAGGGATTTTTTTAGAACCCTTTTGGACCAATTAGTTTAATTTTCTAGGGGAGCATACAAATCTTACTACCCTCAATCAATCCAACGATCAGGAAATATTTAAAAATTTAACTTTCAAAAACTACCCAAACGCATTGAATTGCTTTCATAATCAATTATCGAGGACAATATATGATTATAGATTCTCCAGAATGTAAAATAAAATTATGCCAAGATTAAAGAATATAAGAGAAAGTGGCTAGTCCCTAGTACTTAATCTGTGATTTGATGAGTTGATAAATCCGCAGGTTTGGCTTGACTATTTTATGTTTAACTGGAAATGTGTAACTCTGTGTTTTCCATTGGTTATACTTGTTCTGCTTTTTTTTTTGGTTTGTCCTTGACAGTTCACAAACATACCATATTATTCTTCATAATAAGGTTATCAACTTACCCTGTGGATAGTCAGATATAGCCTGACCAGTATCATCATTATCATTTTTGTTCTATTGAGGAAGAGGTTAATGGAAGATTTTAGTACATTTTTTCTAGCTTGAACAAGTTGTCCGTAAAAATATCACAGTTTTTGGTTCTAGTCCCAATAATTTTTTTATTGGGTTTTAGTCCCTAAATTTAGGAGAATCTCCTAAGAGTCTAATCCTTTCTCAAATGACAAGATCGATCTCTCTCCCTTTTTTTTTAGGCATATGCCTTATTTCTTCTACCATCGCAGCCCACCTGTCTAAATCCCTCACTAACTACTAATGGGTATCTATCAGTTTTTAAGTCATAACAATGGAGAAGTAATGTGTAGTTTTTCTTTATAATTATGTAACTTTAAGGGAAATTGCAGTGGTTGTGGTAATTGTAAGTCATACACTAATGATGGCACTCTGCTCTACCTTCCAAACATGTAGAGAAAACGTTATTTCTAGTCTTCAAATATTGTTCCCTGTGTTTTGTGATTTAAGCTGCTCATTTTCAATTATCTTGTATTAATGCAGGACATGATCCCCTGTATTCTGGTGACATTTGAGAATGAACAAATTGTGGTTTGGAGGGGCAAGGATTATAAGCCTCCAAAGGATGGATACTTTCTTAAAGATCGAGAATCATTTGATGACGACAATGATGACTTGTGTGTGGGAGAAGAGCAACAGGCTATGTAACTCTGCAATAAGGTGTGATAATTAAGTGAAATCTTTGTGCAAGTTGCAGCCATGAATCACAAGTTCCCTTGAGATTGAATTGTTATGTTGTGTAACTGCTGTGATTATGGAAATTTGGGATAGTTCACGGCCAAGTTTGATGCTTCTAATTTGGATATAACAAGTATCTAAACTGTTAGATTGCAAGGAAATGATGGGAATAGTAGAAGGTTTGATCAGGAAGAAGGGATGATGGTTTGATTTGGTAGTTAAAAGTGTTTGGAGTTAGGGCAAAGCCAAGAAACTGTCCCTTGTAATTCCATGGCAACAACACCTACAACTTCTATAACAGTGTTGATTACAGGCTTGGGTTGCATTCTAGTGTGGAATCACAACTTAGACTTCTCCCCACATTTTGTTCCATCCCTTCCATTCAATCACTGTTCCCACCATCAATGCACTTCCTCCTTTGATTACAACCTTCTCTGTGATCCGACTCCAAACATTCCCCCTTTATTTCCTCAATATATAATCACATTGTACTGGTCGTTATTCAATATTCACTGACGTATAATTGTTATGATTCTTTGTCTGTCTTTGGATTATTTAAGCAACATATAGTTTTTTTTCTTTTCCATTAATATTTCTACTGTTATGTACTGTATAATTTTTAGAACAATTGTGTGGTAAGGTGCAATTTTGATCTGGATGAGCAGGGCACCACAGATTGGGTAATCACATATTCTTATTGAGCCTCTAATATTTTGGGTAAACTTTTCATTATCATTCATAGAAGAAAATTGGAAAATTAAATGAAATAAGGTTCTCCTAAAACTAAAAGTAGCTAGTGTACAAGTTAAATTAGATTTTTGGAGAAACTCATGAACTTATTCTTATTTTCTTATCCAAACATGTCTTTTAGTGAGTGATAGTTTTTTAAGACTTGTTACTGTGATGTTTTTATATTCAGTCATTGCTGAGAATATGGTTTGATGAGGATTAGTGCAATAAAATACCTCGTTAGCTATTTTAACAGAAAAAAAAAGGTTTTTTTTTTTATATATATATCATTTGCTACCATTGTGTTGTTTTGTTCTGTATAAATGCAGTGAATGAGGAAATTTGAGAGTTTATGCCTTGATACTTTTATTAACCTGGATAGGGATAATGTAAAAATAATTTATTTAATTAATTTGTTGAAAATACTTCAAAATTAATTAATACATAAGATATGTGCATTTTATATTTGCATTTATAAAAAAAGAAAAAAGAAAAATGTTACATGTGTGAAAACTGTTAAAAAACAGTTGTACATGAAATGATAAAAGATCCTTGCAAAGAGATAATTATAATTAAAGTAAAAGTAATCTTAGTATTTTGGTAATAAATATACTCTTATCTCTCCTGTCACTTTCTAGCTGGTTTCATCAATATATTTTTTTTCTCATGCTTTTATGAAGCTAAACAAAGATTAATAAATGAAATTGTGAGATTTTTCTTTCTTCTCTTTTTCATTTTCTATTTTTCCATCTAAATCAAACAATAAAATGTGTAAAATAAGTCTTTAATAGCTTCTCTCTAGTTAATTAGCTAATCAGTAGCTAATTAGCAACAAATTGATTATGATTTTTTTTTCATTTTAGAAATGTTAAGTAATGAAACACAAGTTTTCAGCTGTGAAATTCATGCACCAAAAAGAATATTTGACTTTGCGTACACGTTTAAAATATTATTCTTTTAATTCTCACGAGATACATTTTTTTATTTTATTAATAATAATATGGACAGTAATAATAGAGTTTAAGAAAAAAAAGTATAATGAAGGAAAAAAACTCAAAACAAAGTTGGAGTACACGAAAAGAAAAGAAGTCATATAATTTATTTACATAGGAAAGAAAGAATTGAACAAGGATTTTAGTGCAAAGAAAGACAAATGATTAAAAAGTCAAATATAAAAAATAGTTTCTTCGTTATAAAATCTTCTATTTAGTATGTACATGAAGCAATATAATTTTTTAAATAAAATAAGAAAAAAAAGTTAAAAGCATATTAAAAATATAAAAAAAATGTGAATAAATATTTTAAAAACTAAAAGAAGTTTAAATATTGTTTTATTAAAATATTAGAAAAATATAAATGTCTATTCTAAATTAAAGGAAATATAATAATTTTTAAATTTGAAAAATAATTACAGTTTTTCAATTTTTTAAATTCTTTATTGGTGTCAATATTCAACTCTTAATAGAGGCAGTGTTACATTGATTTGATTGTATGAGGAGGTTTGGAGTTTGATTGTCTCAAATGCTGAATCATAGTAATACATTGGGCAAAAACATATTTTAGTAAGATGAGTCATGTTATGTACACAATATCAAACATAGATAAATTATCATATGGTTTAAAATTACTATATGTCTACCATCTTAAATCAATTTTTACAACATGTGTTAAAGTTTTTTTATTTGTGAAAAATTAATATAAATTTCGTTACATGTTGTATAGAGATTAATGAAAACTACATTATATAACTATCTTATGCTTATCTTTACTTAATATGCATTTTTGCATAATCTTTGGTTTGTTTCATTTCTACGTACACATTGATTGGTAAACTTATAATCTAATTTAATTAAAACTGATTTGATTGAGTTAATCTTTTTTTTATTGATTATACCCAATTTGCGTCAATCTCACTTAATCTTTTATGAATAAGATGAAGAATTTTGTATGGTGAATTTGAGATTCAATTAGATTAAAATTATTAAATATAATAATAATAATATAATTATTATTTAATTATTTCAATAATTAAATATGTATTTTTAATAACATATTATTTTCCTTGCACAATTATGAATGGAACAATACAAACGTTATTAGCGTGAGTGACATTAGTATATACATATAATTTTAAAAAATTCATATCAAACATATAATTTATATTAACTTTCCTTCACTATGAGATTATTTAGAATTATATACGTATAATTTGAATAATAAATCATAGAATCTAAATGTCAAATCAAATCAACAATTTATATCAACTTTCCTACACTATGAATTTTGTTAGTAAGATACAAAGTCTAAGGTGATGATGTAATTCAAAATGTTGTGATAATGGGGCTTCCACCTTGGAAGGAATGAACAAAAAGTTGAACAAAAAGTCTATCTACTAACATCACGAGTCGGTTTGGTTGTGATCGTGAAAGCCTACTTTCATTATTTTGCATTATGGAGACCATGAATTAGCCAATCGTTTTGGACTCTTCAAATTCTTAGATTCCTAAGAAAAACATCATTTGATTGGCTTCGTTTGCCCAATCTCTTACCTTGCATTCCCAAATATTTGATACAATTTGCACCAATACCACATAATCGTCGACCACCAGGCCACGTGGAAGACACTTCAAACTATATAAACTAATAACTGCATAATGTCATCATGTACGAACCATCGTGAATGTTGATGAGGTTAGTTTTCAATAAAATATAAATTTTGAAATTTTGAATTTTGAAAAACTTAGTTTTACTTAAATATTCTAGGTTGAATGATTTTTTTACATGAAAGTATACATTCTTAACAATAATATCATGTTTAATAATAATTACACATATTATATTATATTTTGATGATAATATTTTCAATAATACTATAACTTGATTTTACCCTACTTATAACATTATTTTTGGTACCACGAAAGAAAAATGTTATCCCATAATGTAATGCCGCCCCACATATTGTAGCATAGGGTAGTGGAGTTTATAGATGGTGGAATATGTGTCGTCCGTAGTGGCCACTGTCCTTTATAGAACCTTTAATTGTCTCTGTACAAAAAGGGTATTAAAATAATTAACTCCCATAAAGATTAGGGTTTGGTGTCCAGGTGTTAAAAATTTGATATAAAAAAACAAAATTGTCATGAGATATAGAAAAAATAATTTATCTTAATTTAACCACATTGTTCTTCGTGGATTTGTATGCATTTCATTAATTAAGATTGTCTGAGATAATATATCAAAATTTCAAATAAGTAGGTCCAACTTTTTAAATCCTAAGTAAAATTAATTATCTCATCACCTACGAATGATGTTTTAATTATTTGTGAAATTTAAAAATCAACTAAGTTATATTATATTATGACCGTAAATTAATTATGAATCAATTAGTAAATATTTCATAAGAATATTATAATCACATAAAATAAAAATTAATTTTAACGATGTTAGTAGTGAGACTTTCTGTTATTAATATGAATAATTATAATAAAAAAAAAATTTGAGATATAATAAAGAAAATGTGTTTTTTAATAACAGATTATTCCTTTGATTTAAAAGTTTATATTTTATGTCTGGATACAATAAATAAACAGTAATAGAAAATAATGTTTTAATTAACTGAATAATATGTGTGATTTTTTTCTTTAAAAAAAAATACCTAATTGAAAAAGACAGATAGAAACTCAGAAAATGTAAACCAAAGGAAAAAATAACACTAAAAGAGACAAAAAAAGACACGTATAGATGAACATTGTCGGGGAAGAAATCATAGCCCATTGTGTCTAATCTATAACTATATACAAATCCAGGTAACACAAATAGCAACTTTCTACACGTGTAATCACCACAATTTTTTTCAAAAAAATCATAAACTAATTTTTTACAAAAAATACCTATTTTGTACAAAAAGACAAACTGCTTCTTTGGGCCACAACAATACTGCAAGCCCATGCTTCTCCTCAGTCCAAATACTCTCCGAATATCTCATATGCTCTCATATGCTCCTTGCGCCGTTTGTTGCAAGTCTTCTTGCTCTGCACATTTTCTTCGCTCTGCACGTCTTCTTTGCTGCAATCTTTCCTATTTTATGCAAGATCAGTGTCTCAAAAGAAGCATGAAATCTCTTTTGTTGCACGTCTTCCCTCAAGTAGTATTTCCATCTCGCATGTTCGGATAAGTTATATTTTTTATCATGATTAGAGTTCAATATTGTCTTCTTTGACCGTCATTAGGGTTGTATCTAA